ATTCGAGCAACAGATGAAGGTGGTTTAGGTGTATCAAGTTATGCACCAATTAGTATCAGAGTTATCGATATAAATAATAATGCACCAATACCAACGGTAAAAATTCTTCGAAAGAAATGTTCGATAATAGATTAATTTCTTTTTTTTTGTTTTTCTATGATAATTTAGAATTCACCTTGGATATTAAATGAAAATGAAATAAATCCAAGTACTACAGTAATTTTTACTGATTATGATGATCCAACACAAAGTAATACAATACCATTTCGTGTTGAAATTTTAAATTCATCAGGTTTTACATTATCTGGTCCAACATTAAATTATGATGGAAGATATCAATTAACATATAATGGTATTTTAAATCGTACAATAACAAAAAATTTAACTGTTACATTTAATGCAAGTGATAATAAAGGTTATTCAGCAATAACAACAATACCAATTATTGTTGGTGATATTTTAAATACATATCCAATATCAAATGGTTTTAAAACAATAAATATACTTTATGTTAATGGTTATATAAATTCATTACGAAATGTTCCCCTTGGTTCAATTTATGTTAATGATTTGGATGATTGGTTTCGTATAAGTCGAACATATGCAATTCGTAATGTTGGTAATGGACAATTATTTAGTACTTCACAAGGTTTTTTAAGTACACCTGAAGCACTTTATCCAGGATCATATAGAATACATGTTGATGTAACTAAACCTATAGCATCATCAACAGCTTTAAGTACAATTGATCTTTCAGTTACGAGTGTTGATAGTGAATTTGTTCGAGAAGCAGCAACAATTCGTATTCAAGGTAATGATTTTCATATATATGTATGAAAGAGTAGGTCGAGTTTCGAAAAGTTAAAATAAAAACTTGCTCCTACATATCTTTAGTACTGACTGTGAAAAATTTTTTTCTTCTTTTCGAATTCTACAAACAAGACATATGCTAACAATCGAAGCATGCGATTGCTTGTTATTTATTGTATTCAATGATATTTTCCTTCCTCATGATTTACTCATACTTTTGATTTCGATTTATTGAATATGCCATTCGTTATTTATGATTCATAATAAAAAATTAGCATCAGTTTAAACTTTGAATACCATAATCTATAAAATGATGTATTGGTAGTCTTTTACAGATTCATTAGGTTTATCATTGAATAAGCGTTTTCCATGGAAAAATTATCTTAAGAACGGCTGAACGTATCAAGCTGTCCTCGATGTGTTCTTTCTTTTGTCCAAAATGCTCGGAAGTAGGTTTTCTAGAAATCCATGGTTTTGAAACCAATGGTCGCGAAAATCTTTTTGTTTTAACAGTCTATAATGATAGAGTAACCAATTCTCTACAAAGTGAGATATCTCCAAGCTCTCTACGACTTTATTTGGCCAAGTTACATCAATTTTAGTGAAAGGGAAAAGCTACTTTTTTTCTGCTATTTCCTCTGGCAAAAAACGACTTTTGCCTTTCACTAAAATTGATGTAACTCGACCAAAAAAGTCGTAGAGAGCTCGAAAATATCTCATTTTGTAAAGAATTGGTTATTCTATCATTACAAACTGTTAAAACAAAAAAGATTTTCGCAAACATTGGTTCCAAAACCATGGTTTTATAGAAAACCTACTTCCGAGTATTTTGGACAAAAGAAAGAACACATACGTTCAGCCGTTCTTAAGATAGGTTTTTCATGGAACATACCTATTGATCATTTGTAGAGAATCTACCGGTGAAACGAAAATTTTCCTTGTACATTTAAAACATTGAATATTTTATTTTAGGTGAATATCCTGAAACATTAATTGATCCATCACTTGGTAACCGTCTTAATATACTTCATAATGCACTTGCATCATTTTTACTTGTTACTACTGATTCAATTATGATACTTGCTATACGTCCAGTTTATCAATATCGTAGTTTATATTATCCACCATTACCATTTAATGAAGCTAAAAAACAAGCATTAACTGATGTTATTTTTTATGTACCATCATTAAAGAGAAATGATATTGAAAATACATTAAATATGAATCTTCCATTATTTTTATCACGTTATAATATAATAGCAAATGCCAGTGGACCAAATCCATGTACAAATTATATTTGTCCAACAAGTAAAAAACGAAAATGAAAATTTTTTTGTGTTATCTTTTATAATTTTTATTTTTATTTATTTTAGATACAATTTGTCGATCAACACGTACTATTCAGCCATTACCTTATTCAATTGATACAAATCAAACATCATTTGTTGGTATAAATGTTGTTGATTCAGGTGATTGTGTTAATTCAACATATTCAACAAATTTTATGAATACACAATTTGGATGTATTACATATACATTTAATAATTTAACATATTGTCCATGTACATCATTACAAACATATGCACCACTTGGACCATATTGTCAAGTACTTGGTAGAACATTTAATGAAAGTGGTGGTGGTTATGCTGTATTTGATGGAAGAACATTTTCAAATCGTGCACCAACACGTTTTTCATTTGATTTTTCTATACGATCATCAATAATTGATGGTTTAATTTTATTATATGGACGTAATACAACACCAATAAATGATTTTTTTTGGACAGCTATTGAAATTTATCAATCAAGATTAAGATTTCATTTTCGTGATACAATACTTGATGCAACAAATACAGTACTTAATGCATCGACATGGTATCATGTTGAATATCAAGTGAGATATTTTTTTAGTTTTTATTATGAAAAATAGTGATGAAAATATTTTAATTCCTTATAAAAAAAAATTTAAAGAAACTTTTTATATGATCTGCTAGTAAAAACAATGCTCTATAATTCTCAATTATTAGCAAATTTCAATAAGAACTGTTTGTTATGATATGTAATAGTAACATTAGATCACATTTTATCTTCAATGTTACCAGGGGAAGAAAGCTAAGCCTGCCCTTGAACCTTCCATGGCACAGCAACTTTAAGAATTTTCTAAGGGCTCAACACTTTCTTGGGCACTGCCACTATTCGATGTGTATTCTCTTCTTTTTATTGTCTCTTCTAATATCACCTTGTGAATGTACTGTGCTCAAAATACCCGTATAGTGGGTCATTTATCAGCAGGGTACCCTCTCGGTTGGACACTAGAGTATAAAAAAAGGTGATTTCAGTAGAACAAAGAAGAAAGATAGAAAGGACCTTATTAAGGTTTCACTTAAGGCGTCCCTCATCCGAAAAGTCACTTTTCGTCAGAATGGTCAAAATTAAGACAAATGCATAAGAAGATAGCCCGTGGTTTGATCCGTAAAATAAGTTGTTTTCATAAAAAATAGGAAATCTTTTTTCATTTTTTCTCAGCTTATACTTTCTTGAGCGCACAATCCAAATTTCTCTGTCAATAGTCATGCAATATATTTAATTGATTTTTTTTTGGTTTGAAAGAGCGCATGAAGATACAATGCAGTACAAAGTCCTTTTTTTAATATATACACATACAGCCCCAACATATCCTGAAAATTTCATGCCATTTTAACGTTCCTGGATTGAGATCAATTATTGAGAGTGACAAGGATCTCAAGTAACTCTCCGGATCTAGATACCATGTGATTTTGTTGTTATTCGACTTGTCAGATATCATAACAAACGGCTCTTATTAAAATTTAATATTAATTGAAGAATACTTTTGTCATTATTTTGCATATGTTCTGAATATAATCTTTAAATTTATGATTCTGTTTTTTATTTTTTAAGTATGTTGATTCAACAATTCTTGTTTCAATAAATGATTGTCAATATGTAACAACAGTTAATGATACATTGAATACATATGATTTATCAAATGTTCAATTATATCTCGGTGGTTTACCAGTAACTGGTTCATTAATGTCTGGTCTTTATCCATCATTAACACAAGTAAATACATTTAGTGGTTGTATAAGAAATGTTTTATCAAATGGTTATTATCTTGATATGAGTAAAGCATTAGTATCAGTAAATTCTTATTATGGTCAAAGTTCGTGCACATTGACAAATCCATATACAACACCACCAACATCAATAACAATAACAACAACGATAACAACGCCAAGACCAACAACAACGTCAACAACACCAAGACCAACAACAACGTCAACAACATCAAGACCAACAACACCAAGACCAACAACAACGTCAACAACACCAAGAGCAACAACAACGCCAACAACACCAAGACCAACAACAACGTCAACAACACCAAGACCAACA